CAAAATGGAGAAAGGGACAAAACTCTTAGGTCATAGCTTGTATAGCTGCTGGTGAGCTGGAAATATACTGAAGCAAATAGTCTCTGGAATTAGAAACTGGACACTCTCATTTTCTGTTTGCCACTTCCTAACCCAATTTCTGCCCCTTCTTGTTAATCTCTGCCTAAGGGCCTCACATTTTTCAACAGCACAGTCTTTAGGTTGCAACCACCTAGGGGTATAAAAGTGGTGACAGGAGGAGTGGGCAGGTTGGATAGGGACTCAGGGAAGAAATGCCCAGGTAATGGCCAGTCCACTTGTATTCTTATTTCCTGCTTCTCACTCCAGCTGGCATCTGGCACTACCTTCAATTTAGCGGGCTGTTTCCTTCTGGCTCTGAACTTATGGTTTTGCTTTTCTGCCCCTTAGTATCTTTAGTATAGCAATGTTGGAGCCTGGGCAATGCAAGAGACAGAACAAGGCATGGCATGAAAGTTTTCTCCCAAAGTATTCCCTCTCTGATGGAGGCTATTTCCCATACTGTGCATCAACAGTCTCCAACAGGGGCTTAAACACTCTTTATCTCTCTGAATTTCCTCCTAATTTTATTTCACTTCTTTGGAATCATCAAACTCCTTCTCTTACTTTTGTGGCAAGTCCAAGATAAGGTTTGAGGAGAGAATTCAGCACCCATGTTTGTGTGACACCTTTCCAGGAATGGACAATTCACTAATGGTTTCAAAGGGTCACTGGGACCACTAGAGAATACATTAAGCCTGCCATCCGATAAGCTCTACTGGGGGTCACCAATTAAAAGAACAGGTTGCCTACAAAGTAGTTCCTTTTATTGTAACATTTTCTCTTCAATTTTTTTTTTTTACATGAAGTTTTGTTTTGTTTTGTTTTGTTTTAAATATCTGATGGGGAGGGAGTGCATAGGAAGGAAGGATACAGAGAAGCGGTAACTATGGAGAGGAAGTGGGAAGAGAGCTGTTACATTGGGAGGGAATTGCAGTCAATGTCATGAAACAAAATGTGTATGAACTGCTGCATGGAAAATGAATTTGCTCTGTAAACTTTTACTCAAATCACATTAAAAATTAAAAAAAAAAAAAAGTTTTCTGGAGTAAGAATCAACATTGGCCTTGGGGAAGGGTAAGTGGGTCCCCCTCGAGATATAAGTAGTCTCCATTTAGACATTGAGGCCCTGTTCTGGGACCCCTCCTGAACCTTGCCCTTTACATATATTCATTTTTGTTTATATCTTTCTCTGTTATTAAAGTTGTTACTGCAAAATATATAGATATGTGCATGTGTGTGTGTATGATGCTAAATCCAAATACAAAAATAAATAAGACCAGAGGTGCTCTGATTGAAGCAGGAGTGTGTGTGGGGGCGTCTATGATTCTGTTCCCCAGTCCCCTTGTCCCCATGGTCATACCATAGAAATCACCACAGAAGCTTAGAACTTCAAAGAACATAGTCTGAATACCACCACCCAAGCAATTTAGTGTGTTGCAATGTGTATAGTTTCATTTATTTTAAGTTTTCTTATTAATAGTAATTCATTATATGGGAAAGAGACCGTATTTCCTTTCTTACTAGTATCACTTTGTTTCTTGTTTCTACTGGTAGGATAGGATGAGAGGAATTGGTGGTACCCAGACTTATTTTACTTCTTAATTTTTCTATAGATGAGAAAATCTTGAAAACCTATCCCATATTAGCTAAAGCTCAATCTTAGGCAATATCCAAGAATTTTAGAGGTTTAGACCCTATGACACGAAAGCTTTCTCCCAAAGTGTTCCCTCTTTGATGGAGGCTATTTCCCATACTGTCCATCACCAATCTCCAACAGGAGCTTAAACACTCTCTATCTCTCATGAATTTCCTCCCAAGAACAGTAATCTATATTACTTAAAACTCCTGGGTGATGAAGAAACTATATAAATATCAGCATCAGGCCCCGGATTTGGTCTGTAGGGGGAAGATTATTGCTAGATAAGTGAAAACTGCCATCACTCCACCATCCATCTACCCATTCTGCCAATTCTGCCATCATAGTCTTTCTGTGCGTTTATGTGAGAGATCCTTAAGAATGAGGTCTCTGTCTTGCCCATTGCTATGTCACCTACTGGGTCTAATTTATGATGTGTAAAGTAGGTGCTCAAAGCCACCACTCATCTGTCAGCTCATCATATTATGGTGGCTTGCATGTTGCTATGATGCCAGATGCTATGCCATCAGAATTTCGAATACCATCAAGGTCATCCATGATGGAGAGGTTCAGTGGAGCTTCCAGAGCAAGACTAAGAAGAAAGACCACTAATGTACTTCCAAGAATTAGCCAATGACAACCCCATGGACCACAACAGAATATTGTCCAATATAGTGGTAGAAAATGAGCCCCCTATGTTAAAAAGCCCTCAAAATACACAGTGGCTGTACCAATGGACTCAAGCATGCCAAGGACAGTGAGGATGGTGCAGGACTGGGCAATGTTTCCTTCTGTTGTACATGGGTCACCATTAGCTGGAGATGATACCATGGCAACTAACAACAATAAAACGTACTCAATTTGTGAGGTCAAAGACCTTGTTCTTGAACTCATGGCCTTAAGCTATTGGAGTAGGCAAAACTACTCCTAAACTTTCTATTACAATTCCAAGATAAACTTTATAAATATGCAAGAGATTCCTTATAGCTAATCTATATTTCTAGTACAGTTTAACCTTTTCTTTCCGTCTTGCTGGTGGTCTCTTGAGTAACAGAGAAAACAGCCCTGCCTGAGAAGTCCCTCAGACCAAGAATGAACTTTACACTTTAAGACACAAGACTAATTTTTTATTAGGTGCTTTCTATAAGTTGGGGGCGGGCGAAAATTGCTGGCAAATAAATAAGTAAATAAATAATCAAACAAACAAACAAAGGCTTTAGGGCCAAAAAGGATCTCAGGACGAGGAAGCGGAGTCTTTGCATAGTTCTAAATGAACAGAAGGTGGCAGCAGTAGGCAACGTGGATTCTCAGCAGAAATGCAGCACTTGCAAAAAACGAAGGACAGGAGGCTTTGAGAAAGAGGAGGTCAGAAGGTGACTAACTATTTCTTTTCCATAGAGACTGTGGTGTGGAGCATTCGTCCTCTCTACAGGGAGTGGGATTCGGCGTCTTACATGATCTGCCTGGGCATCCCATACCCAGTCATGCCCGCCTGGGACGCTCCCTTGTTGCTGCCCATCTGAAGGCCTATTACGTTCTGTCCCTGGCGAAGTTGCTCCTCTGAAAAACCTCTCCGGTTCTGCTGGGCTTTCCTGGGCAGAGGGAGGGAGATGGAATCATGTCATTCTGACAGCTTTCAAATCCTTCTTAAGCTCTACTGGGGGTGACCAGTAAAAGAACAGGCCCTGCCAGTAGATGCATGCATTTCCTACCTCTCAGAAGCCTGGATAGTTTTCCACATTTCCAGCAAAGGGAAGAGAAGAGTCAGTGGCTGCTTCTCTGGGGACTTCTTTCTCCCTTCTCCCCACTCCCCCTTTCTTGTCCCACCACTTTAGGTCATTTCAACCAGTCCTCACCCTCTTTCACAGTGATCTCAAGCCCTCAGGAAAAGGAAAATCAGCTCTTCTTAAAAGCAAGTTAAGTCTCTTCATCATTAATCCTATTACACTCTTCCCTACATAGGGCCAAGGATTAATGGCCCTTATGCAATGGAACTATGCAATATTTTTGAGCTAAGGAAGCTGGGCATTAACCAGGAGAAATTTCTTCCTCTAGATGCTGGGTTAGCAAACTTTTATGTAAAGGGCCAGCTCTGGGCTTGTATAAACAACTAACAGAGATGAAATTAAAACCAGAATTTCAATTGGCCAATATCTAGGAGATTTTCAGAGCAGGTTCCTTTAAAATAACACAAGCAGATACTTTTTATAACTGTCAAGGAGACTAAATGAGACTCAGGGCAATGGAGAGGTGATTACCTACCGCTAGGTGCTCTTTTCTCTTCATTCATCATTAAGCTACTGGATTTGAGTTTAAGACTTTCTCCCACACATACATGAATTCACTGAGGGAAACAGCCTTTTACTGACATGATCATATAATTTATCATTCAGTCCAGGACACTTTTGAAAGAGGGTACTATTTATAAATATGTTGGGACAACAGGCATTAACCAGAATAAATAGGACATATGGTCACCCTAATATTTACCCATCAATAAGGGGGAAAAAAATTAATAGCATTAACATTGTTTAGGTTGTAATAATTGAGTTCAGATATCAAAGTCACTTCTGAATAAGGCCATCCAGTCCCTCTCAGTCTCAGGAGACATAAAACCGAGACCAAACTGGACCATCAGAGTAGTTTGTAGGTATTTTTGCCCTGAGTCAGATGTTCATGTGAACAGCAGCATTGGTCTCTCCTTGTTCTGAGGGCCTCATTATGGGACTGGAAGTGCTTACTCCAAGGAGTTTTGGCTAGAAATAGCCTCTAAGAACTCCAAGGCTTCAGACTCTGCCTCTGGTTAAAACCGTCCCCTGTTCCAAGGGGCCAGGATGGCTTTCTAACCTGTGAAACCAGGATGGCTCTCCCCGGTAGCAACCATCATCTTTGGTGACTGCAACACTCCCTAGAGCCATCAGGGTCCTCTGCACAGCCGCCATGTCCTTCCCTGGAAGCCAACAAAGAGATCAAAGCCAAACATGTGTCAGGCCAAGGGATTCTGGAAGAATGGAGCTGAATCTTCACCAAGGAAGGTCTGATAAAAGGCTAGTGTAATCAAAATCAGGGGGAGACACTATCTCAATGTGTCCTTGTTGTTGCTGTTGTTATGTGCTGTCAAGTTGGACCCGACTCATAGCGATCCCTACTTGGGTTTCTGAGGCAGTATCTCTACAGAAGTAGATTATCCAACCTTCCTTCCAAGGAGTGGCTGGTAGGTTTGAACGGCCAGCCTTCTGGTTAGCAGTCAAATACCTTAAGCACTACGCTACCAGAGCTCCTCCTAATGTGTCCCTAAGACAACCATAAACTTTTTACAAAGGGATGAAAAATAGCCTGATTAATTATTGTCTATACTGGTGCAGTGGATAAGGCATTTGGCTGCTAACCAGAAGGTCAGCAGTTCAAACCACCAGCTATGGAAGGAAGATGAGGCCATTTCTTTCTGTAAAGATTAACAGCCTTAGAAATTCAATGGGGGTTGCTATGAGTCAGAATCAACTCGATGGCAAGCGGGTTTGGTTTGGGGTTTTTATACCATATATACCAGGAATATCCAGTTTCTAACTCATTCATAGTTGCTGTATGAATAAAACATTCTAAATACCTAGAAGCTTATACTTAAGTAGGTATCTGCACTAAGTAGACAACTTTGCCTTGGCAGGTTCCACAAGTTGTGGTAAGAAGAGGTCCTGTGGGTGAGCTAGTGAGGGGAGGCCCTGAGGTGGGCTGTCATAGTGGTTCTGTAGAAGCAGCATGGTTCCTCAGAACTGAAAAGAGAAAAGAAAAACTGAAAAGAAGTTGGTTAGATGGGTAAACTCTGCAACTAACCCCAAGTGGATTTTCTCTTTTACTTTATCTGGGTTAAAAGGGTCTAAACTCATTCAAGTGCATGAAATTGAGTATTCATTAGGCTATTTGGGCCAGGGGCTGAGAAAAAGAAGAAAAAGCAAATCAACACTGAAAGCACTCAATGTGACACAAATGCTAGGCCCTTAATTTTGTGCTGCTTGAAGGCAGTTAAATGGAGACAATAAATAACTGGTTCGTGTGTAAAAGATAGAAGAGTGAGAGAGAACAATGGAAAGACACAGAGCAAGAGAAGAAAGACAGGGACAAGGAGAAAGTTACTGAGAGGGGTGGGATGGGGAGCATTGTTATCTGAGAAGCCCAGTGACCCTCAACCTCAGTGGAAGGCAATTGGGCCTCACAAGTTAGCCTGATCCTCTTACCCTTTTTTCCTTTTCTCCCTTCCAGGTGACTGATGTATCCTGAACTGGTAAAGATGCTACTGTGTGTTCGGTCCTACAATTTTGCAGCAGTCCAAAGGACTGTGAAAGGCACAAGTTTGGTATGCAAAAGCCAAAAAGCACAGGGTCAGAAAGGAAAGCAGCATTCAGCCCAATGAGGAGCTGTGAAGGAAAAGGGCAAATATGAAAAGGCCCTGATTAGCCTGAATGAACCATCTGTATCTTTCTAGTTGGGCTATTGCAGCCCAGCCACCAGGGAATACAGAATTACAGGGAAAGGCAGATGAAAAGTGATAATGGAGTATGAACTGTAATAAAACCAACAATTAAGGATCACAAAGGAAGTCCAGTCCAGGATGTCCATTTAGTCAAACAGGACAGAGAGAGAGAGAGACAGAAGCTCCTTCTTCCCTCTCCTCTCTCCTTCATCCCTACCCACCACATTAACCACAGGGTGATTTCCTGCATCCTGAGGCCCTGTGGAATTGGTTGATGGATACAGGGTGAGGATAAACTCTCAATGAAAAGTTTTCCAGATTCGAGGAACAGCTGGGGTGATGGAGAATAGAGTATCTGGGCAGCAGATGGAATGGGGGTACACAAAAAACACTGAGAATGTGATAGGAAACACAGAGTGGCTGTCAGATGATGCTTTTCTTCCCCAGATGAAAATATAAAGAATATATATAGGAGCTCTGGTAGCATAATGCCTAAGGCACTTGACTGCTAAACAGAGGCTGGCGGTTCAAACCCACCAG